TAATTAAAAAAAAAACTCTAAAAGAAATGTGCTAACAGACCATGATTCAAGCCTATCCTTCTCAGAACATTCCAGATGTCCTAAATTCAATTCAAAATCCTCCTACAAATCTATTCATTAGTCTTATCATGATAGATATTCATCCACATACGGAGTTATCTCTTCCCTTCGTATTTACGGACATTTAAAAGAAAATGTCCTAGCCTAATAAAAATTTATATACCAGCTATGTACAGTGCTTAGACTAAGTGATTTTTAAAAATAATTTTTAATTGAAAATTTATTAAAATATTGTTTTTTATATATTTTTTTTAACTTTTTTACAACAGCTCATTAACACGTTTTAAAAATATTTAAAGAATATTGATTTAATGTTTTTTCTGATAAAAAAATATTTTAAAAAACAGGTTATAATATAAAAAAATACTTAAAAAAAATGATTAGTTAAAATCGGTTTTTTTACCATTTTTCTAATTACCAATAGAACCAGGACAAAAACCGAAAGCTTGGTTGGAGAAAACAAATTCATCCTGATCGATAGCCTTTTGTATGCTCTAGTTCCCCCCCGTTAAACCAGAGGCTTGGATACTGCTCGACAGCTTCTGCTTTATTTGGCTGAAGAGTTCGAAAAAGGGAGTTCGGACCGGGAGAAAAAAAGAGGGTAAAAGGTGTTGAAGAGTCAAGAATGCCTTTGGGTTGCACCCAAGGCAACGGCCCAGCGGTGGAATGGTGTCTTGCGCCTTCTGCTGTCACGGGTTCAAGTTTTGGAGTTGCATGCCTGTCAGCCCCGCGCTGCCTTACCTGCCTGCTGGGTTTGCAGGGTGTTCAGTGGGCCGTGGAGATTAGTCGTGGTGCGCGTAAGCTGGCCCGGACACCCCACATAAATAAAAAAAAAAAAAAAAAATGCCTTTGGGCTTAGCTAAACCATCGAACACGAGTACTCTGCTGGAGAACCATTTATTTGATACTATGTTTTATAATGGTATAAAAAAATTAAAAAATAATTTGAAATAAATAAAAAACAAAGCTTTTCTTTTAATTTTTTATAGGATTATTTTGATTTCAAGTTGTGTACTTTGGTTGGTTAATCTTTAAACAAGATAGACTATGACTGTGCGAGCTAAACCTATTATGAAAACAGGTTAGTAGGTCAACGAAAGCTCAAATTTGCTTTCATCTCTTTCAAATTTCTAAGTTTTCTAGTTTTTTCAAGGGCTGTTGCTGGGAAACTCTTCTATCAATGGCATCCGACTACTTGGACGTTAAGCAACTTTGCTCCGAATTGGGAACTTCGCCAGGACAAAGAAACAAAGGTCAAACAAGGTGGCCACGAGCTTACCACTTGAGAAGCCACAAATATTATTTTTATCCAATTAAGTATGCACTCCTTGTTCCGCCCTCCAGCTAAAGCAAAATTGACCCTGTAAACGACTTGGACCCCAATTTTGTTTTGTTTCGTGCTTTAATTCCGGGTAATTTCTTGTGGTCAACACGCAAGCACGCATATATATCATTCAAGAACTAGCATTTTGTTCTGTGTAAAATTATCGAGCTGCTGCGTCTTCTTGATACTCTTTTCATTTTAAACATATCAACTCCTGCTAGCTTGAATTACCCAGAGTCTGAAGCTTCTTTCCTCAAAGTGTTCATACAAGTGGGGAGTACAGATGGAGCAAAATTCTTGCACACCAGACTTGTTAAAAGAGGGTGGCGATGAATTCTCTGATATCTCACTACGGCCATTGGATCTCTCCGATATAGATGATTTCATGGTTTGGGCCACTGATGCGGAGGTTGCTCGTTTTTGCACTTGGGAACCTTACACTAACAAAGAAGATGCCTTGAATTACATAAAAAATTCTGTTCTGCCCCATCCATGGTTTAAGGCAGTATGCCTTAACAACCGGCCTATTGGTGCCGTTTCAGTGACCAAAAATTCAGACAACGATTTCTGTAGAGGCGAACTTGGCTATGTTCTGGCTTCTCAATATTGGGGTAAAGGGTTTGCAACAAAGGCAGTGAAGTTGGTGGCTAAAACTATATTTATCGAGTGGCCACATCTGGAAAGATTAGAAGCTTTAGTAGATGTACAAAATGTAGGCTCCCAGAGGGTGCTAGAGAAGGCTGGATTCGAGAGGGAAGGTGTCCTGAGAAGGTATTGTATACTGAAGGGAAAATCTCGAGACATGGTGATGTTTAGTCTTCTCTCTACTGATCCTCAAATTTGATTGTTTTGTGAATTATTGTGTACTGGTTTCATGATAGTGTGTGGAATGTTAATTGTGAGTGAAAAATAATTCCATCAGAGAGAGAAAGATTGCTTGGAAATTAATATATTATAGAGATGTTTAATTATGTGCATCTTTTGTCTTTGGGTTTTTTTTTTTTTTCACCATGCCTTTGACAAGGTCTTCTCGAATTCGATCCCTGTACTGGATAGTCATAGAGTAGAGTTCCACAACAAAGACAGTCTAAATCCACGGAATAAATCTCCTTCTCCTCAATCCACGGAATAAATCTCCTTCTCCTCCTTGTTTCCTTTTCGCCGGTCTCTCTCTCAAACTAGCTTCTTCTCTATAAACAAAGAACAGCTGAAGGACACCGTCCCAATACCCAGCCGCTGCCACTTCTTGAATGCAGGTATGATGTATAGCCGCTCCTTTACCAGTCCTCCACTTTCTCGCCAGCATTTTCTCCATTACCAGTCCTCCACTTTCTCACAAGCATTTTCTTGCTTGTTCTATCCACTGCAAATCAGACCCGCTGTTACTCACTGTACAGAACCACTCACCACAATCAAATGCTAGCGGGCACAGATGACCATCTGGCTATTCACAAAGAAAAGGAGAAAAAAAACAAATATATAAAGAGCACTTGGCCTTGGTTGAATCTCTCTTTTTTTTAGTGGGAATTCTCTTGCTCAATTTTCCCCATCAGTTTGATTGAATTTGGTCTCTAACAGATGTTTCTTTGACTGGGAATAATTATTGTTAAATCAATTGTTTGGGATTTTGTTTTACCGTACTTGTTCGAGACGATATATCTTTCATGGGGGAACTAAAAAACCATATGAAATTAGACTTAAGTGCGAGCCGGAGAACAGTGGCATTGGTGGTGATGGACTGATGTCCTGTGCGTTGCAGTGATGATTACACCAAGAAGAACTAAAATTTAAGAGAAAATCTCAATTTAGTCTCAAACATATAATTCTATTATTAATTAAGTGATAAACTTAACTTTATCATTGCTTCAAATATAAATGGTATGAGAAAGGGTTACCTCCTTTTAATTTTAAAGATTCCATGTAATTTGCATCTAATTTTTATGCGCTTATTAGTTATTTTATGTGCACCCTCGCTCTATCGAAGATTCATTGACTTACTTATACTTTATTTTTTTTTTATATTAAGATGCTTGCTAATAAGGTTTATATGGTTCAATAATATATTAAATTATGTAATTTTTATAATATAATTTATTTTATTAGTGAAGGTAAATGGTAACTTGATATAAAAAATAAAAGTAGATAAAAATTTGGTACGAAAATATTTTCTTTAATAAATGCAATTTTTTTAGATATTTAAATAAATATTTTTATATATAGAAAGCAGTGGAATTTTACAAAGGTAAGGTTTAAAAATGCAATTTTTTTTAGATATTTAAATAAATATTTTTATATATAGAAAGCAGTGGAATTTTACAAAGGTAAGGTTTAAAAACATATATAAAAAATATATAAAGATTATAAACTCTTTACTTGAATAATTTATATAATATCTATAGCTAATAAATTTTGCTTTTTTATTTAAGTGAAAAAGCTAGAGAGTAATTTTACTCTAACAATATTAATATTAATACAATAAAGAACTGGTTGGCCATGAAATATTTTTTTATATAACTAGGAGTGTAGAGAAAGTAAGATACAAAATGCATCAATTCAGTAAAAATAATCTAAAGAGAGTGATGTGGGGTTCTAAAAAAATAAAGCTCGAAGTATTAGGTTCATGCGCATGTCTTGAGCCTATTAGTATATAAAAATGTGTCTGGACAAAATTTTTAAGCCCATGAGTGATGGGTACCGAGCCCATTCCCCTGAGTTTCAGTGACGGTGCATTAACTTAAAAAAAAAAACATTGAAAAATACAAACATTGATAAATAAAGTTTATACAAGTGGAAACTTGATTTGGTTTCACTTAAATGGGTATCAAGACCGGTAAATTTATCGTTTAGAATCTATTTAATATCGAAAGTTGTTATTTTTGAAATTATTATTATTTTTAAATATATTAAAATAATATTTTTTAAATTTATTTTTCAATTGAGTACATCAAAAAAATCTATAAATTTTTAAAAAATTAATTTTTTTTAAAAATATTTTTCCAACTGCGAAAACAAACCAAACAGCCATAATCTTGATTCATTATTTTTATTATTTTTTAATTTTATTTTGTTAACACATGTAATTTATATAAACCATAACTACTATATCAAATAAAATTCAACACTTCTTTAACTAAGTCTTATTCTACAAGTAACAAGGATTACTTTTCTTATATTTAATACAAGTAATTGTTATTATTACAATATTGTATTTTAAATAAGGTAAGAAATCAAAATACTTTTCTAGCTATACTTTATAATAACTGGAGTTTAATTTACAATCGCGAACATCAATAATTAAAAAATGATAACTAACGATAAAAACATGTAAAGCTAGCATGTTAGAGTCATTTGATATTACATGTAATCTTTTCGTTAAGTATTAAAAGATTGTTTGAGATCATGGTTTAAACTATATTTTATTAAAATTTATTTATTTTATTTAAAATTAATTAATTAATATTTTTATATTGTTTTAATGTATAGATTTTAAAAATAAAAAAATATTATTTTAATATATTTCTAAATAAAAATATACTTTAAAATATGATCATTAATATATCAAACTCATTGCTATAAAACTTTGTCTAGACTGGAATTGCTATCACAGTCCTAGACAAATTCTAATTAGCTTGAAAATGGGTCCTGTTTCGACCCCTTGCTAAAGAAGATGGACTCCTCTACATTAGAAATTATTGCTTGTTTACCTCAGAGAAAGCGAATTTATTGGTAAATCACCATAAAGAAATTTAACAACCTTCCACCGTCCCCACTCACCGTTTTACCCGTGTACAGTTCGTACGCAATACTCACAAACCCCTCATCCTGGAGAAGTTCACTGTGAAAGTAGAAGAAAATCTCACTCTTTCTTTCTAAACACCGAAAATCCTCCCAGCTCACCAATGGATCCACTCTCAGCACTCCGAGACTTCACCATCCGGGGTGACCTAGACAAAATCATCCGCGTCAACGGCGAATTCCGCTTCGGCAACGAATACACCTTCCCTTGCTCAACTAAAACCGCTTACCGTTCCAAACAAGGCAATCTCTACACGCTAGAAACCCTAGTTTACTGCATCCAAAACACCAAAATCAAGTTCACCAATTACCTCCAAGACGCCCTCGCTCTCGGCATCCCCCCTGTCACTTACATCGACTGGAAACCCGTCAAAGAATACCTCTCCGGAAAACTCTCTTCTACCGACTCCATAGTTTTCCCTCTCCCTCAAGAATCTCAAAACCCTAATCTTAATTACCGCCCCGATGATCCCATGCTTCTTGATTCTCGCATCGATGATTCCGCCGCCGCTGATAAGTTGAACAATGGGAATGAGGGAGTTGAAAATCACGTGTCTTTGATTTACGCCAACGAGAGGCCGTTGAAGGATAGGGAGTCGTTGTTGGAGTGTAAGAATAGGGATTTTTATGGGGTTTTGGTTGCTTCCACGCGCCGTGAAGAGGAGAGGCATAAATTTGAGAGTCAACAGAGGAAAGATGGGTTAGTGGCGAAGAGTAGGTTGATGGGAGCTGATGAGAGAGGAATTGGGTATGGTGGTGATGAGTTGGGCTATGATTCAGCTGCCAAGCCCAAAATGCATTTGAAAGGAGGGAAAATTGGGGAAGGGGTGCCCATAATTTTGGTGCCAAGTGCGTTTCAGACTTTGATTACGATTTATAACGTGAAGGAATTTTTGGAAGATGGGATTTTCATACCGACGGATGTGAAGGCTAAGCAGATGAAAGGGCCGAAACCGGAATGTGTTACAGTGCAGAAGAAGTTTAGCACCGATAGGAATAGAGTGATGACGGCCTATGAGGTGCGGGATAAGCCATCTGCACTCAAGGGTGATGACTGGGATAGGGTTGTGGCAGTTTTTGTGCTGGGGAAGGAGTGGCAATTCAAGGACTGGCCCTTTAAGGATCATGTTGAGATATTTAATAAAAGTAAGTGAAGTTTTGTGCTTGTTGGATTGCATTGGTAATTATATTTGGGATTTGTACTTAGCTGGTGATTGGTGTTGGCTGATTCTGTAGGTTTTGCAAGAGTGTGATTCTTATAGTGTATCATGGTTCATTTAAAATACTATTTGGATTCAATTGGCATGACATAAATTGCTTAAACTTATGCAGTTATTGGATTTTTCATGCGGTTTGAAGATGATAGTGTGGAGTCTGCTAAGATTGTGAAGCAGTGGAATGTAAAGATTATCTCGGTAAGCACTTTGCCCCTTTGATTAGACTTGCTTTGTCGGGTGGCACCCAGTACTTTTACCCTGTCTCCTCCACTTCAACTGCCTTTTGCCATTTGCAATTATCGGAAATTGGCATGTTACATGTGCAGATCAGCAAGAACAAGAGGCACCAGGATAGGGCTGCAGCGTTGGAGGTATGGGACCGACTAGAAGAATTTGTGCGCTCGCAATCACACACTTGAAGTGTGCAGACTTTCAGAAGTTCGTATCTATGTATCCCCCCCTTAAATCCTATCTATATCTGCGTATCTTTGAATTTGACAAACCTATATCAGGGTATCCATTAACATATTTCTGGCATATGTTGAATGCATTATGTTTGGACAGTGGGTTAAACTAATTGATTTGAAGCATATGTTGTTAGTGTGCTAATCATTATCCTCATAGTATCAGTTTCCACTTATTAATGAATGGATGTGGATAGAGAGTAGAAATATTGGAGTGAGTAACAGAAACAGTAGGTAAGCAGTGCTGGAAATGATTTGGGTTTTAATTTGGAATCTGATGGACATAATAGATGGAACTGTGCAGCAAAGCTGTTTCTGGATCTCCCAAAGCTTATGGTAGGAATGCCATATAGGATTTCTGGTCAGATAATACGCCTATCCATGCAAAACTTCTGTATTTCCAACGTTTTTTTTTGTGCTTTTTCTGTGATTTTGATCTTATAGGTTTTGATTTACTGTTTCTGTGTGTGAATAATAAACCAGTGCAAAAGTTTGTATTCTCAGTGACATGAACAAGAATGCATGTCCAAGCTGTAGCAATATGTAAATGTGGAGTATGGTAGTTTTCACCTTGTTGACCATCTTGTGGCATGACCTGAAGATTTTAATGAATAGCCATTGATATCAATAATGCTGAGGATTCCATATTGATTATCAGAGCAGATTAACTTTGCTTCGAGTGAGTGGATAATGTTAACAATTTTCTTCAAACTCATAATGGGGGTTGAATTACACGTGCTTGATCCTCGGTTTCTATGAACATACTGAAAAGAAGAAACCCAAAGTTGGTTTGATAGGCACATGAATATTATCATGGATATTTGCAAAGACATTGTTTTTGGATGTGAGTTTTGAACATGTTCTAGAACCGTTGCTCAGCTATCAAATTAGCTTGTTCTTTAACTAGCCAAGTAAGAGCAATTGAACCATCAAGGGTTAGACTGATGTTCTTTATTTGGTCTAGCACTCTTCAATTTGCGACAGCTTGAACAAGGAAATCCTGCTTCATTCTTTGGCAAGGTGATTGGCCATTGTAATCATTCAAACTGAGTTTTGATGTTGCAGTTGGCTTCATTCATCAGCCTATCCTAAGCTCAAAGAGAGAACCATTGGTGGCTGTAGATAATGCAATTGGAGCTGCTTTAGTTGGGGCCTATAATTGTGCTTGATGTTCAGCATCCAGAGCTTTGTTACAAACTAACATTGCCCATGAAAAGAATTAGGATTTTTTATTTCTCATTTACTTCTCTTCATAGTCCATAGATTTAAGAAATGATAAAGTTCATGCTTTCAATCTTTAACTATGCTAAGATACAAGGGTTTTGCTGGGACTTCTAGTTTAGTTAAAATATGGACAGGTTTTTTGAATGGTTTAACTGATTGCTATATTAATTTTAACTTGCCAAGAATATGGGTGGTTCAGTTCCCACTCCATTCCAAAATTGGAACTGATGCTGGTGGACTGGTTTGCCACCGATCATTTTTATAAATCTGTATTTTTAATGTGATCCGAGGTTCAAAACATTGTTTGTGCTGGAGTGCATGTCTGTCTGTATATGTATAAAATTTGAGGCATCTTTTAATGGGTATAGGTGTGTCAATGGAAACCATTTCGTAACCAGCTACAAGCCATTCAAAGTGCAGAGGCATCGTGGAAGGATGGAAAGCATGCCATGGCTGAATATGTGGATGTCATGCTCTTCTGTTGGTTTCATGTTGTGCAAGTTAACTTCCAGTGGTTGGTTGCAGCTGCGAGCTGGAGACTTTGGTTTTTGCATGAGTGGATCTGATAATTTGTAAGACAGAATTTACAACACAAGGTCTGTTCTAATGATGCTTTTCCTCTGTAATTTTCTTTATTTAGTGATGTAACTTGTGGTATTAAATTGGGAATGTGATAATACTGCCAGATTAACACCTTAAAGGAACTCATTTATCGCTTTTTGTTATTATGCTATTCATTTCCGTTCTTTTTAGCTCAGCTTATGTTCAACTCCTCCTAAGTGACAAACTTTTAAACTCTCTGTTTAATGTGCTGTTTGCATAGAACATAAAAAACTGTGTAATGTCCTACATGATAGATCATAAATATGTGTTATTAGGAAGGGAAGAGAGCAAACGTCTCTTCAGTAATACAAAACTACACCAACCTCGATGAGGTCGCAAAAAAAAGTAAACAATACATGCACCCTCAACTGACACTCGGTAATATATTATATCATACAACAATGACCATGGATATGCAATGTGTAAATTATAGTGTAAGTGTTGACGAGCTGGCTGATCAGAAAATCTCTGTGAAGGTTGAACCATATGAAGCGGCAAAGAGAAGGAAGAACAGTATAGAGATTGAGAAATCCATGGAGCTTCCGCCTGATGTTCCATCTTTTTGTGTTGATGGTACAGTTTTGGATGCAGTTCCTACACCAGTGAATGTCACCTTGAGCAAGTTAATACCAAAACAGAGTCTAACATGATGAAAATCCTTTTATGAGGATCTATTGGTGTACAAGCATAGAATAACTTGATCAACAATAAGCTTTGTTTTCGTAGCGAATAATCATATGCAATAAAAAAAGTTGGGTGTAAAGAGACACCGACTTGTTTAGATATTCTACTTTCAGTTGCACTATATACATATAATGCCGTACCTGAAGGGGTGCTTGAAGCTTCTGGTGTTCCCGCAGGTGAGCCTGCTGGAGAGGCACCTGTCCAATACAATGTTATGAGTTAGCATGAGATCTGAAAATTTTGAAAATGTGCAGTGATATTTTCCTTTTTGTGAGATTTCTCGTTTATTTTAATCCATTCTCATCCCCGACTGTCGTTCAGGGAGATCTAGCATCCATTTTTTCAGATTTTGGCAGGGTTTTGACAGGGAAGCTCAAAGGAATTTTATAATTTTTTAGCCACGAAGGAGTTTTAAACTAGAAACCTCTTGGGGGAGGAGGGGCACTATTGCCAATTGAGCTGTAGCTCATTGGCAATTCAAAGAAAGTTGAGGTTGCAAAGAGAGAAGTAAACTAAGTTCCAAGTTTCTTACCACTGCAGCTGCTGATGGGTGGAGTTTGCACATTGCAAGCACCAGGTAAGGCTATAGCCTGAGTTTTGTTGACATTGATCCCTAGTGATGAGCCACCGCCATTAAGAACCTGGCACAAGCACTGGGGTGATGAGCGAACAACACTAGCTAGCTGAGTGCAGCATTGTGAGGATGGAGTTGAGGAGTTCCCTGTAATGTAATTTAGGCACGGTGACATGCTGATTAAAACATTTGTACAATCTGATTGAGCCATGGCTCCTGCCCAAAGCATGGTCACCAGGACCATGGCCAAACCCATTGACATCGCTGTGTGGGCCATTGAATCTCTTCACTTAGGTATTGGAAATGCTCGTGGAATGTGAAGATCTCTTGTAACTATTGAGTTTGATTAGCTTGATGGAACGGGGAGAAAAGGGTATGGCATTTATAGGGATCTGATGCAAGAACAGGTAACTGAGAAGATCCGTTATGTGGGTGACCAACTCTTCCTAATTTCCAACAATGGGCTTTCTAGTCAACTAGGCCAGCTTCGACCTCAAGCTGTTCATACTCGGAGACCCTGGAAATTTGCTGCGAGGCTTACATGTGGCGTTCTGAAGGTCGGCTCTATGGGTGAACAGCTTCTACTGGCTGACGTTTCTTCTGGTACCAAGCAGCTAAGATGTATAAGCTGTCCAAAGCAGCAGGCTTTGTTGTTCTTACAGACGCATCCCCAAGCAGAAAGCGTAACGTGTTTCTGACTCCACCTTTACAGGAATTTGACTCTGCACCTTTTCACTTTTAGAATAAAAGAGACGTGATTTGAGAGCAGGAAATTCTTGAGGAGGATCAAAGAAATTGATTGCCCTCTCTTGTGCTGACAACTGTTGTTAAGACTCGTCTGCCTTCAAACCTAAGAAAAGGTGATAGTTGTATTCTTTCACAGTGAACGAGGATCAAACCCTGTCTAGGAAAAAGTATGGTGGCAGCTATGCTTCTTCTTTGTGACCAATGACTTTTTATAGCTCGATACCATTCTTACAATGTGAGGTTTGGCGCTCTTGTGGATCGCTTGGCTATATGAAAAAATGTTAAACATTGCTACTTATTTTTAGTGGATAGAATTTGGGACAACCCAGGAGCGCACAAGTAACTACTTGGTTTTAGAAACACAACTAATTTATTATCTGCACAGTGCCATGATTTTTTTTTTTAAAAAAAGAATGTATATGAATTGAGTGATCAGTCTGTACAAAAAAGATTCTTTTTTAATTATCTAAATTAAAAAAAATAAAAACCCAATTTTACTAATTGGATATATTATATAGTTTTGTATTATGAAAAGATTTTTTTTGACATTAAAAGCTTTGTTTAATAAGAATACCTGGGCAATTAATTTGTTTTTAATCAAATACCAATACTAATCTGTTTAACTTAGATTCTAAAAGCAAGTTGAAAGCCCCCCATTTGAGGTAGGTTAAGCCACACGCTCTCCCTTCTGAATGGCTGCATATTGGGTTCATATACTAGCGTATGTATTACATGTGTTAGCTAATTTTAAAATCAGTTCTTGTTTTCTTTTCAATTCAGTCACTCTCGTGAGCTCTCAAGTCTCATAAACCGCTCTCCTACTGAAAGATTACCAAACTTCTTAAAAAAAGGCATATGCAAGCACAACATCCAATGACAATGCTAACCTCTCCATCAATGGTGCAACTCTTCTTCACATACCGAGGTACTATGCTCCTCAAAGTTGAAGTGACAAAGGTCTGCAAGTACCTTCATCGCCAGGTAAAACAAAGTGTCCGATTCAAGTAATTCAAGCCAATCCACGTAAGTTTAAGCCATTCAAACTCATTGCTTCACATCATTTCATTCCAGTGCTCTTCTATGAACATCATCTTATTCTCCTACATTTATTAGTTTAAATATTAGAAAGTTAATACCATAAACAAAGCCTCCATCCAAGTACATAAACTTTAGGCAATATACAGTCAATGAGAGCACAACTTAAGTATCAGCACAACTTAAGTATTAGAGAATCTTCTATTTTAATTAAAAACTTGTTTTTTTTTAGAAATAACCAGTATAAGCAACAAAACCTACATTAAAGTCTATACATTTTAGTCCAATACGCAATCATTGAGAGCCTAATCCAATCTTGAAGTTTGCACAACCTCACTGGTTTATGTTTTGACATTAGATTTCTTGTTTAAAAATAATACATGTGCAATTAATTTGATTTTCAGTCAAAGATCAACACTAATATATGATATATCAATTAAAAAAAACTCCTAGAGTTAAAAAAAACTGACACACACAACACACCCTGGGCAAGTGATTTATCCCATGGGCTTCCCCTCATCATGTCAACCTGCCCTCTAATAAAAAAATTACCTCACTGTTTTTAATGGATGATGGTCCCTAATGCCTAACATGATTTTTTGAACTTGTGAACTTAGTGTTTTAAATACAGCACTATCAGACTGAATCGAGTAATCTAGTGTTGTGTTTTTAAATTACTGGGTTAAACCCACTGTGAGAGTTCAAATCCCGAGCAAACTTTGACTCCCATCACTTATGATTTATATCTATTTGAGATTGAGATAATGATTTAAATTATTTTTTATAAAAAAATATATTAAAATAATTTTTTTTATTTTTTTAATTTTTTTTTGATATTAACACAATCTGAAAATATAATTTTTTAAATAAAAAATTTTAAAAAATTAAAATTTAGTTTGTATTGTATTTTCAAACAGATCCTTAACCTGAAGGTCAACTTAGTGGCTCTTTCTATCATTCGGCTTCGGACCCATGGAAAGGTTTGGGCTTGCATGATTTCTTACAATAATGGTGTTGGGTTTAAAAGTCAAAACTCTATTTATTGAAAATATCCACCAGTTTGAGTGTTCAAATTAAGATGATTTTGTTCTCTAAGCTTTAATTAAAAATATCAAGAGAATTTAAATTCTAATTTAATCGCCTCTTAAAAATATCAATCAAGGAAATTGATTCCTGAATAACCTTATTAAGAGAATTTAAACCATGGCTATATGGACTATTGAAATAAATGTATTTTATTCATCAAGTTTTAAAAATGTAATTAAGACAATCAAATAGAAAAAAAGTTTAAAAACATTAAATCTCACATAAACTTCGTATAAATACAAAATATAAATGAACAAATACAAATACTAAATTTACTTAGATAAAAATGAAAATTGATTGATATACTTATTGTTTTTCCTTGGAAAAAAAAAACTCCTATGGATCCAATTATTCTTCTCAAGAATTTTATTTTTATTTTAAATTAATAATTTTAGTTTTTTTAGATATTTTTGATATATTGATATTAAAAATAAATTTTAAAAAATAAAAAAAATAATATTTTAATATATTTCAAAATAAAAAATATTTTGAAAAACAATACCCTCCTTTCTATTCTATACGCAGCAATAGTAAAATAAAATTTCAGATTAAAATCATAATATAAGTAATGAACTTGAAAATTTCGAATTAAGAGGTCCCTTTTTGTTTTTTTCTAAGCTTTGCTTTCTATATATAGCAATATTGTGAACTAGATCCGATATTCATGATATTCTTCAAGATAAAAGCAAGCAAGAAAGGTTTATTCATCACACCACACTTGTTATTAAACAACGTAAATGCTCAACACACATACATAGTAAAGCAAGCATTAAGTAAATACGTCAAACAAGCGTAAAAGACAATACGATCCGATATAGCTAGCACGGGAAGCTCCTAACTAGCCACCCCAACTGCAACTCAGTAGCTGCTAAAAGTTGATGCAGATGATGCCATGAACAAAACAAAGAGAACGAGCTGAAGGGTTTTGTTTATGATGAGGCCATTTCCAGGGCTCCCTCCAGTTGCTGGAACTGTTTTAGATCCTCCTGCATTCATTCATTCTTGAAATTAAGATTAAGAATTTTGGCAAAGTACTGGAACTCAGAACTCTTCACCTAGCCTAAGATCCTGATGTTGTTGGAAGCTGTACCTCTGTACTTTCTGAGGATGTAACTGAGTTGGTGCCAAGTCTGACCATCAAATTTGGTTCATTCTGATCTAATTGAGCTCGAGCCAGATTCAAGCTTAACATTAAGCTCAAAATATTGTTCAAGCTTTGTTCATCATTTAGTTTAGTTGGTTAATAAACCTAGCTTTTGCACAATTTTGAATTCATATTTCTGTATATAATTATATATTCAGGGATTAAAAGAAGGACTTGGACGTTAAGAATCAATGAGAACATCATTGTGGACATTCAGTCATTCATCTGATTAACATAATTAGACAGATCACTATTTTTATTAGTGGATCAGAGTGAGGGGCTCGTCTAAATTTTGACAATCGACAAACAATTTCCATCGACTAGATGGAGAACTTGAAGAATTACCTGGCAAACCTTCAGGAGAATCGGCTGGAGACATTACAGGTCCATTAATATCTGCCAAAGCATAAAAAATAAATTATACAGGCCATATTCTATATAATGCATGCACTCTCCGGAAGATAATTGTTTTTAAACTTACCATTGCACTTGCTAACAGGCGGGGTTTGTACTTTACAGGCACCAGGAAGTGCTAATGCAACCGTCTCGTTGATGTTAAGACCTAATGAAGCACCACCGCCATTTAGTGCAGCGCAGAGGCATTGTGGCTGTGATAGAACAACACTAGCCAATTGCGAGCAGCACGAAGAAGATGGAGTCGAGGAGCTTCCAGTGACATAGCTTAGGCATGGAGCCATGCTAATTAGAACATTGGCGCAACCTGATTGTGCCATGGCTTTAGCTGAAAGCATGGCCACAATAAGGACCATGACTAGACCCATGTTGATTCCTCTTGAAGCCATGTGATATGTGTTCTATAGCAAGGCTGATTCTAGCAAGTGTGAGCAATGGCAGTTTATAGACGAGGCCATTGAACTCTTCAGGCGCTTGAGATAATTTGGTGAACTAAAACAGCGTATATGAGATCAGGTTTACAATTATTATTAGAGTATTAACCAACATGTCGTTTATAGATGCAAGGATTTAGGACTTGGTTGTAGAAAGATGGCCATGCCTAGATCATATATGCTATCATTGTGCTAAATGCAAGTGCAAGGTGATCGTTGACATTAATGAATGTGCTTGGTGACATAAAAAGTGGCCTTGCAAATCCTAATGGACAGAAGAAAGTCTGATAATCTAACTTTCAAAGGCAATCTTATTTTGGATTTGTTCTTTCTAGAATAGAAACACTGTTTTCTGCTTTCTGTGCATTCAAGATTTTGTTTTTACTTTTTTAAATATAATTTTTTTATTTTTCTGTTTTAAATTAATATTTTTTTGGTATTTTCATATCATTTTCATATATTAATATCAAAAATAAATTAAAAAAATTTAAAAAAATATTATTTAAAAATATTTCCAAGCAAAAAACACTTTAAAAAACATTAATTATCACGCTTCTAAACACCCTTAAGATAATGTTTAGGAATGTTATTGAAATAATGTGTTTTAAAAATTTAAATTTTATTTTGTTTAAAATTAACTTTTTATATTTTTAGATTATTTTAATAAATTAATGTCAAAAATAATTTTTTTAAAATAAATAAAAATTTATTTTAATATATTTTCAAACAAAAAATATATTTTACCACTTCATCAAAAGCCCAGCCCAGACTAACATGGCTCATACAATACATGCCATATCATAACTAGTCGGGACTTGGACCTGTAATTGGGCGTCTATTATCAGGTAGAAGTTGTGATCTCAGTGATATATCTTGATTCACTAGGATTACAAATGACCTGCCCATAAACTTCATCTACTGAATGGATAAGGAAGCACTCCATTTAAGTTTGGTAACTTGGTGTAGGAATTTTATAAAAATATTTTTTAATTAAAAATATATTAAAATGTATATTTTTTATGTGTAACATCAAGAAATTAAATCCAACAAGAGAACAAAAAAACATTTTAGTGACCAATGAGAATACCTTCGGTACGCGTGAACCAGTTCCAGCTCCATGTAATAATTTCTTGACAAATAAATTAGTGGTATTGGCCAATTAATCATAGGTGAAGTAAAGATATAGGTCTGCATATACAAACACATGCATGCCCAAAAAAGTGGGACTTATAGTTGATTTTCTAAAAACGAGCAAAATCATATTTTTATTGATTTAAATGAGCTTCGGATTTAATTGATTAAAGTCCAAAATTTAAGCACTTGTATTTATAAAAGGGCCAAGGCTTGAGTTTGTCAGAAGGGCGACTGAAACCCAACCCATTTACGCCCATGGGTATCAAATATTAGTACTATCCGGACTGTTTCACAGCTCTCGGCCCAAATAAAGTCAGGATTTCTAAAGAATCCTTCCCCGCGGTGTTCATGGGTGGGGGTTGGTATTCCTAATTATATCTAATTTAATTTTTAATATTTTATAAATTATAAATTAAATTTATTTAAAAAAATTTAAACCCAAGCGGGTTAAATATATTAGTTGAGCTAATTTTGTGTGTGTGGATAGGTTGAGCTTTTAAATTCCCTTATTCATTGATGACTTTCAAAAGCATATAATTATTTACCATAAATCACATTTGATATTGCAACGTATTTTACAATATCTCAAATATATAATTAGCACTAAACATAAAAAAATAAAAAGAGAAAAAGGATATAATATTAGAGTTATTTATTAACTAAAGGAGTGATGCCAATTGAGTTGGGTTAGTCAGTTTTTGAAAATACCAACCAATCCGACTTATAACATCTATTTATTTAATTTTTTATCCATTATTATTTATAATAATTCATATTAATTAACTTTGACGTGCTGCGTTCGGTTAAATAACTTGATTTTTTTTAACACCCCTAATCCTTCCTTTACCAAACAAACGATTTTAAGTGGCCGAGAAAACTTGGATTGAAGTAGTTAAACTTGTTAATAAATTGGTGGCTTTAGACGATTCTTATTGGCTGAGATCATAACTTCTGATTTGAGAAAATGGCTAATGGTAGGTCGACAACATTTTAGAGAAAATGGATTGCAGGGGTCAAAGCAAACTTTGCCGGAACCTGTAACCTTCTTATTGGTTGAAAACAATAGCCACTTATAGTTTGACACTAAATTAGGGTAGGCCCATCAAATGCCCAAGTCAAAACACAATTCAACAGGTGTCAAAATCAAAATCCTTCCCCGAACAAAATTAGTTAAGGTGGTTGAGCTTCGAAACCAACTTCAGATACGTTGTGTAATTCCCTCACTTTCCTTCACCTTCTATAAATTCCTTTCCCTCACCATTCTTTTTGTCCAACACAGATTTCCAAACTCTAAAATCCAATCATCTACTCCCCGTTGGTTCTTAACACCATACTTTTCTCCACCGAGTACTCCTAGCTGCAAGAGCACACCGGCATGGAGCGTTTTGTGCCCTTTTCGCGCATGATTCCGTTTCTGGCTGTAGCTCTGGCAGTCATGATTTTGCCTGTTTATGGCCAGATCAATACTGCATGCACGGCTTCGGTGCTTTCTACCTTCACCCCATGCATGAATTTTCTTACAAATAGTACTGCTGCCACTGGTACCTCACCAACGGCTGATTGTTGCGGTGCACTTAAGAACCTCACAAGTAATGGGATGGACTGTTTCTGTCTTATTGTAACTGGCAGTGTCCCCTTCAGCATACCAATCAACAGAACTTTAGCCATTTCTCTGCCTCGTGCTTGCAACATGCCTGGTGTCCCAGTTCAATGCAAAGGTAATTAGTTAAAACTTTAAGGATCTTCTTCTTCTTCTTCTTCTTCTTCTTTTTATCTGTCTATTAATGTATTGATTTCTTTTTAATTATTCAAAAGCTGAGTGTTGATATATAAGTAGTAAAAACACTAATGTAAAACTTTATTGCTCTTGCAGCCACAAGCTCACCAATTCCTGCTCCAGGTATGATTTTTGAACCATCGTGATCTTTAATCCTCTTACATGACCATTCCAACAACAGTTACGCGCTTGAATAAATCCAACGCTGATTGTTATGCAATCATCAATTGGGCAGAGAGTTCTTAAAAACACTTTAAGATGATTTTATTTTATTTCTTTTAATTAGTTCTGGTTCAAAATAATTAACTGTACGCTTATACTCTGATGATTGGCAGGTCCTGTCACCCTTGGGCCAACTCTCTCACCGGGATTTTCTCCATCTGCTAGTCCTGAAGGTAATCAGACTCAGTAATCTCTTAGTCATATGTCTATTGTATTTCAATGCATATGTGTAATACATAATGGTTTATGTGTTAATACGAAAAGAGTTTTATTCCTTATGAGCAGCTCCTGTTGTTCCCGAGCCGACACCATCCACTCTCCCGCCAGTATCTGATACGACACCTCTCCTGACGCCACCATCATCTACAGGGGATACTGGGGCACCGACATCAACTCCTGGGAGTCGCCCAGTTCTAACTCCACCATCGGCATCGGCGCCCTCTCATAGCCTTTCGCCATCTCTTCTATTTGCAGTAGGATTTGTACTCTTCAAGTACTACTAGATGTTGTCTTTTACATTTGTTGAGAAATATTCTTTTCCGAGTGTGAGCTATTATTTTGAAGCTTGTTTAGTTGATTAAAAATCATTTTGGGTGATTATTTATTAAATAATTTGTTATTTTTGTATAAAATACATGTATTGGCGAAGATAAATATCTGATTACTTTGATTTCTTTCGGAAGGTTGGTGATATATAGTTGGTCATGATTTTGCCCACCAACGCTTATGATTTTTCACTTCAAAGTGAATATAAACAGACTAATAGGATATATTAGTATCGAAGAAAATCTCACGGTCAGCTCATTTTTCTTGTCCTGCTAAATTACATCATAAACCAGATGGGATATATTACCAATTGCACAAAGACTACAGACTCGAATATCAAACCAGATGGGAAAAAAAAAAATCAAAATTCAAGCCTTTCTATTCATCCCACAGTCATGCATTATCCATGCCCAAGTCATAAAAATTTAGCCTTTCGGTTGGTTAAGTAAAATCTACTGATGGTACCTTCACATTTCCATGACCCCTGACAATCTCTGTGACTGGTCCTAATTCACCAACCGATACCTTGTTACGGGCATGCTTTCAGATGTAGAACTAGGATTACCCATTTAGTTAGTTTTGGAGTAAGTAATTACTCTTTAGCGGTCTAATTAAGCAAGGGAAAACGAGAGGGTAACACTGTAATAGCATCTTTCACTGAAACAGGAGCTGCTGAATCTTGTTTACGTGAAAAAATCAATTCAATCTAAAATTTTATTTTTTAAATATACTGAAATTTTTTTTGACTTGAAACTTATAAAAATTTATATTAATTTGTATTTGATTTTTATCAAAAAATAAGAATAGTAAAATTTAAATTCATAACTGTTTAGTTATCTTATATCTAATACCATGTTAAAAAATTAATTCAATCCAATAATTTAAATTATTAAATAAAGCCTCAAATTATAATCTATATTATTTTTTAACCATTTGCTTAGGTGCTTTGTGAAAACATTTATGGTTGGCAACTGAACTCATACTTGTTGCGTTCTGTTTTTCATCACGAGAAATATAACTGTTTAAGATTATCAGAACTCATTCACGGTTTAAGATGATCATGTTAAGGAAACGAGAAGGTTGGGAGAGTAGAATGGAATGACGCGCACAGTTTACTATTTGCAAACTACTCCTGCAGTAGCTGTGCTAGTTTTAAGGACACCAAAGATCCTGTTATTTGTTTTCAGTCATGAGCTCTCAAGAACTGGTTCCCTTCAGGTTTATTTGGGGCTTGGCTTTTGTGCTTGTCATTTTAACTCCTGCTGTCGAATGTCAAATCCAAGGTTGCTCTATTCAGGGTATTGATTTGGGGCTGTGTTTCAATCAAACTAGTAGCTCCGTGTCCATTAATAGCACTTGCTGCGAAGTGCTTAACAAAGTTATACGCATTGGATACAATTGCCTGTGTTTGCTGGCAGCATCATCTCTTCCTCCCTTGAGCACCTCAATTATATTGCCTTTGCCAAATTGCTTCATATCTGTGCCTCCTTTGACTCTCTGCCAAGGAAATGCTAGACCTCAATCCTTTCCTTTCTGAATTAGGTCACAAATAGGTTAATTACTTCCTCTTCTTGAATATGTCTTCATGTTTCTTATTCTTTCCTTTCCTTTCCCCCCTCCACGTGCAGTTCCAGCTCCGAAGCCAATACTGTTTCCACTAAATATTCCAGATGTGCTAGTCTCTCCACCTCCAAGTGAGATGCATGTTCAGTTGAACTCAACTAGAGAAGACAGCTCTACAGTAGTGGCTACACAGCCACTTTCATCAACAGAAAATGTATTTCCTAAATTAATTCTGTCAAGGGAGAACGGAACATCAAATGGGAGTGGCAAGACTGATAAGATTTTGCTCAAACTCTTAGTATCGTCCTTCGCTTCTTATGGTTGTATGTTATTAGCTTAATCATCTCTTGTCAGCCTTAAACAGAATAAACAAGCATGTAAAGTTCAAAACATGCACACCATCGCTTTACGCTCTCTAAGATTTTTGGTTAGAAAATCTTGACAGCAACGTTGGATTTTTCTGATAATGTTTTTAATCATACCAGTCTCTCCATGGTTTTCTTCAGATCCTTTTAACCCTTAAAATCGATGACTGGTAATACAATTACATTACACTGCTGTGATCTCCCTCATTGAATTTGAACGCATTGCTTGGTGTTGCACAAAAATGCTGGTGAAAATTCTGTCTCTTCGTTTCTTTCTCTGCATATTGTTAAACCTCTGCACACAAAAAAGGCTGGCGCTAGATTTTGAGATAGGCTCTACTGGCAGATTAAAGAAAGTTCAGGAACTGTTTAGTCAATGAACAAGCATTTGCCAGTAGATGCACATGATTTGGCTGCCCTATACATATACTGATTAAAAGCAGAAGTGTGATGTAACTTGCAAGCTCCATATGAAAATTCAACAAAATGTCAGATTGGCAGAATAAAGTTAATCAACTACACAATGAGTGCCTGATTAACACCAAAAAAATGCTAGTGGTAAAACTCGGGTTATATGTTGATATGTCAACTTGTACATTAGTAGGTTAATTTTTATTTTTTTTAATTAAAACAATGTTATTTTAATAATAAAAAACTTATTTAAAAAAAACTCACACGTATCATTCAACAACCTTTTCATGTGTCGACACTCGTCCATTTCAATTAGCATACACTAAAAAATACCTATACTGGTATATCCATAAAAAATAAAAGTTAAAAAAACTAATTTAATTTTTATCTATTTTCTTTTTCAACCTTTTATTTATTAAATTAAAGGGAAAAAAAGGTGAAATTGAACCTGTTGATGTAAATCCCATAAACCATCAGATGCTAACGCCACAAACTTTGCATCAGGCCTCTCCTCTTCCTTAAAATATTGACCATTGAGTGAACTGCTAAGGATTTTTTTTTTGGTAAAATACAAATACAGAGAAATTGATGGTCCCTCCACTAGATAAAAAAAAAAAACGCTGTCGTTCAGAAAAAAGTACACTCAACACTGATTACAAGGGTATTTCCGTAAACTCTCGGGAAATAAAAAACGAAAATCCCCATTCCCGCCATTCAAACTCGCATCCTTTATAAAGCAAACGCCCATAACTGATTAGTAACGAACAAAAACTCACTCTCTCTCTAAGACGTGACTCACATGACGATCATCATTTTCCCAGCCGTTTTAACCACCATGCTCCTCCTCCTGGCCGCTGCTGAACAATCCCCAGCTTCATGAACCATCGCCAGCTTCACCACCCGGCTGCAGCGATGAACTGGTGGCCTTCTCTCCGTGCCTCGGCTACGTGTCGGCACCGCCAAACAGAGTCACAGACACGGCGACTGCTCGGTGCTGCGATGCCTTCTCCAAGGCATTGAATTCCAGTGACGGTAACTGCTTCTGTTACCTAATCAAGCAGCCTCTAATCTTCGGATTCCCATTGGATGAATCCAGAGTGATTGCTTTGCCTTCTGCTTGCTCTCTGTCAAGTCCTGTATCTTTGGACTCGCTCTGCTCAGGTTCAGATAATTAATCCGAACCTTTCAATTAATTTATCCATTACTACTATTAGATCTTACTCTTATTTTTTTTCTTACATTTTGTTTTGTGAAAAGTTTGGGAAAATTTAAGACTTAATTAGATACACAGTCCTGTAGATATTTCTGTTAACGGATTAGGCGCAAGTTAGCATTTCTGTGGAAGAAGGAAAATAATATGCTGAGGTCTAGTCCAGGGAAATTAAATTCTTTTGATACATAAGTTGCACTGTCCTTTAATTACTCTTTAGTACAAATTGCACAGTGAATAAATTGAAGGTATTAATTCAACTGAATAGCAAGTACTTTCGGTGCTGATCATTGAGGCTGGATTGAATTCTTGATTTTTAGCATGTGATTTCATGATATAAATTGACATCAAGTTTTCATTACCCACTATTATAAATAAATACAACTATAATTCACCAGCAGTTAGTTATTTGCATTCTTTGTGCTGCAGGGTCTCCAGCACTGCCCCCTCTCCGAGGCACGACAGCTTCAGTGCCTGGTAATCAAGCTTAATCATTTCTTCTTCATTGATATTGTATAGAATCAATGGATTATTTGTGTTAAAAAAAACATCTCAATTCTAATTTTTGTTAGAAATATGCAAAAAGATAAAAGAAGTTTCTGTCTTAATTTTGTAGGTCCTGATGATCTTCATCAATTAGCACCAAGTTTGCCACCAGAATCTGTTGATGGATCACCCGCAAGCCCAGTTTCACCTATAGCACCAGCATCGCATTCATCAGCAGAGAAACACAACAGCAACGGCTGGTTTCTACCTGGAGTCCTAACTCCCACTGTAATCTTCAATCTGTATTGTTGCAATCATCGTATGCTTACCACTTGATTGGCATTTGAACTTTTGTTGTAAAAAGTGGAAATTGGATGTTCACAGGAAATTTTGAATTTTGAGATGGCAACCGTTGTTATTATTACTGTTATTTTTTCTTTCCTTTTTGTCAGGAGGTAAAACATTCTTTGAGACCTACAGCAACATCTCATGAAACCCACTATTTCTCTTTCAAATTTTCAAAATTATATAATGTAGAAGTAAACTTTCTGCAAATACAATCGATCAAATTTCATGCAGCGAGTCAAGGGGGATCCTTAATCATACAATTTGAGCTGGACTGCTTCACTCTTGGAAGCTCTATTCTGGCGAGTCCATGCAAAACCCTTGGATTTGGAGAGAGAGAGAGAGATATCGATTTTGGCCTGGAGGCAAAATAAGTGGGGAGAGGAGAGAACTGTCGGGTTTTAATTCCTTCTCCTTCTAAAATGGCCAATGAAATCTTCCATTGCTTTTTCCATAATAATAGCAGCGTTATTTTATTTATCAAATTCAAAGGTTAACAAGCCTCATACAATAGTGAAAGATATTGTCCATTAAAGCATCAGTTGTGCAACAAAGTCCCTGAAATTTTTTGAAGATCCCCCTTCATAGGCACTGTTTTGAGCCAGTTCCTTCAACTTGAGAGCATTTGCTTTTATGCCTTCATCAGACAGCAATTCGTCCACCTTCCTCTTGATTTCATGCTTCGTGACCATCCCACCCTCGTCAGGGTTCATTTCCAAGCCAACCTTCCAACCATAACATACACAACTCTTGTTCCAGAACTGATCTCCAAAGTACGGCCAACATAGCATGGGAATCCCCATGTTTATGCTCTCCATAGTTGAGTTCCAACCACAATGAGTCATGTAACAGGCAATGGAAGGGTGAGCCAACACCTTTTCTTGCGGTGCCCAGTTAACTATCTTTCCAAGATTTTTTACTCTATCTTGGAAGCCATCGGGATATTCAATAGAAATCCCATCGATGAAGTCTGAACGAACAGCCCATAGAAATGGTTTACCGATGAGTTCAAGGCCAAATGCTAGCTCATGAAATTGCTGTTGACTGAACTTTGATGTGCTACCAAAGGCGATATAAATGACCGATCCAGGAGACTGTCTGTCAAGCCAAGGTAAGCAAGTCAAGTCCCCTGACCGAAAGTTTCCAGTAGATTTCCCATCATGGGCAGGCAATGGACCAACAGAGATTATGTTCGGAAGCAAGGCATTTGCTGAAGGGTCAAGCTCGTGGAACCAGTTACATAGAACCCAGTTGGGAACCTTCAGAATTTGATTAACAAGAAGGAGGTACTGAAACACATCCTTTTGGTTGAAGTTGGACTTGTTTCCTGGTCTCTTCCAAATAAAATCAGCACTATCCATGGCTGGTAAATTTGGTGATAGTTGTATCTTCTCATTCTTCTCCACAGTACCTACAGATTTTTAGTTTTTCAATTAGAATTGTCATATGAAATATTCTAGCTCTAACTCTTTCTTACTTGTTCTCCATCTAAGTCCCAACAGGTCATTTACATCATTAGTAGTTCATAAACTTACCATCATCAGCATCTATAATGCCAGCCGCAATAAGCTTTGGAAGATGAAGTATCAGTGCCAGTACTCCTGGTGCTGAAGGGAAAAAGATGGCATGTTTTAGCCCCATCTTCTCTGCAATCTCAATAGGATCCCGACTTAGAACCACGTCAACTATGAGACAAGTAATCTGGCCAGTGCCAATCAGCTCATCTTCATTGGTCTTCCTAATCAAGTTCTCCAAGTGACCAGGAATGACGTGTAAGAAGCTCTGGACTAGTCGATTATCATCTTTGTGGTCATCTTCTAGTGCTAATCCATCAGGAATAGAAATAATCCTCATATGTTCCTCCTCGTCAACCTTCTCTATTTGCGAACGTATGGACTCTGTAGTTAAGAATGTGACCTTGCTTCCATGTCTAACAAGCTGGTGTCCTAGTTTCATAAATGGGGCAACGTGTCCTTGAAGAGGTAATGGCAGCAGTAGAACATGGGCGTTGGCTTGAAGAGGACTAGTGGAAATGGAAGTGTGATCCATGGTGTATATTTCACTGTTTATTCAGTCTGGTCTTGTGATCAAGTTGTTGTTTATATAGGCACTTTATCATTTTTTTCAAAAATGGAGGTCACTGGGAATATCAAGTACCAGGAAATTTAGTCGAGCCTACGTGAGCGCATGGGTTGCTAACTACAAGGAAGCCTGAGAAGCTCATTGGTTAGAAGATCTCACTGTGTTTCAGTGAATGGATAGACTACAACTCTTGTAATCATTCAAGCGACATGACATTTATTGTTGCACAACACAAATTTTGTGAACAAGAGACTGCTACGACACTCAATTTCGCTTCCAGGGAAAAGAGGCGGGGAGCATTCCTACTGGGGCTCTATAACGTCTATTTCAAGAACATTATTTGTCCAAGTCCAATTTTTACTAATCCTGTAAATTGCTTTGATGCTGTACAATTGGCAGAGCTAACAAAAATTAAGTAATTTTGTGATAAATTCTTAATTTTTTGGAATGGATATGGCATGTCATCCAAATCATTGTTGATTCATTTTTTTGGGGTAAGAGAAAAAAAAAAAAAAAGCCAATGACCAAACCAGTTTAAGAAAAAAGAAAAACTGATTGGTAATTACAACGTCCGCAAGTAATGTTTTAATAACCATTATAACTATAATTTTACGTTTTGGAAAGGTAGTACACAGGTTCCCGCTACCTGCATCTCCGTGCTCATTCTTTTTTTCTAACTTGTCCAGGCGCTATAAGTTTATATTTAAGAAAAAAATAATCTAATAACTCGATCATAGTGTCCATCGACTATTTAACTATGTCTCCACCGGCTTTTTAAAAAAAAAAAAATAGAGAGAAAAAAAATTATTTTTACATATTTATATATAAAAAAGGATTTACTTGGATAAATTATATACTAAAGGATGAAATTAAAAGAAAAAAATTAATTATACAAAAGAATTTAAAATAAAAAATAATAATTAAAAAATAAGGGTGAAAATAAAAAAAACAAATTAGAGGGTGAAAACAATTATTGATTGAAGGATTAGATTGAAAAAAAAGAACAAAATGATAAAAAAAAAATCAAAAGTATAAAAACTAAATTAGAAAAAATAAATTCAATAGATGTGGATTAAATGATAAAATTAAAAACTACCATAACTTTACCAAAAGAGCCCAGAAAAAAAATAAAAATTAAAAAAAGATTCAAATTGAAAAATATTATATATGTCAAATTAGAATTGAAGACTAAATTGAAAATAAAAAAAAACTTTAATAAAAAAACTAAGAAAAAAAATTAAAAATCAAATTAATAAAGATCAAAATAAAATAAAAAATACACTATTGATAAGCAAGTATCAAGTCTGAAACAAACACTAATTAATCACATGTAGAATAGGACATATACAAGTGAGAGGAGGTTGTTATAGTATAAAACTCTAATTGTTATATTTGATTGAAACTTTGCAGTATTGTCTCTGCTGTATATATAACTTTTAATTCAATTGTCTCTGCTGTATATATAACTTTTAATTCAATGAACGAAAGCTATGCCTTTACGTTTCACAAAACAGACTTTTCTCCTGCACTATATTAAAATTAAAGGACTAAAATAAAAAGAATAAAATTTTTATAAAAAGATTAAGAAAATTAAAATTGAAATTGAAATATTAAACAAAAAAAGGATAAACTTGCATTCATCGGAGAGGAGAGAAAAAAGAAAAAAAATTAAAAAAAAAGGCTATTAAAAAAAAACATAATAGTGTTTCTAATAACATAATAAAAGAGCTTGTTCAATTATCAGGCAACTTCATACACACTGCCCAAAAGACATGGTACTTTTTACATGATGGTTCATAATAAACACACATTAATAATTTTATTGATTAAAAAATAAATATTTAAAAAAAAACACAAATTACCATCCATATGTATTGATTAAAAAATAAATATTTATAGCAAAAAAAAACACAAATTACCATCCATATGTCCTTAGATTTACCATAAAATATATTTAGAAAGATAAAAAAAACCTATGAACCTATGGTCAATTTCTCCCAAGGCAAAGTTAACTTTTTATTGTTCTGAAATAAACAAAAAAGTTTAAAATAAGTTATAAATTTTTATTGGTCAGTTTTGATAACCATTTTAATTTTTTATGAAATCAAAAGTAATTAATTCATTTTATTGTTTAAAAATTATAGAAAAAAAACCAGTATAATCTACTGTATAAAAAACCCCCAAAACCAAGGCTTATTATTTTTTTTTAAAGAAAAGACAAAGGTGTCATTTTAACAACAATGCTCTTGGCAATTTGCATAACCATGAAAAGAAATTGCATGTGCGTCCATTGAAGAAATAAGTAAATAAATTCAGGTATACAGGCAGATAAAAATCTAGTATAATGGCACCACGAGAATCAGAGGTTCCAGTTCCAAAGAGCTTTTCTAGCCAAGAGAGACTTGAGAAGACCTGGATCTTCGGAAGTCCATGACATTCCAAATTACAACTCTGGAACGTCAGCACATCCAACCCCATAAATAAAGTACCGGAATAGCATTTGGAACAAGTTTTACGCAATCAGATGAAAGTTACAAAACATTCACTGTCGGCCCTTTTAAACATTAAAAAGAAAAAAATAACTGCAAGTTAAACTCCCAAAGCCTCAGGTTGGGCTGTTGGGGTGTCCTTGACAGATTCACGCCAGGCATACTCCCTTGCTCCATCCCTATCAACAATCTTGATCACAAAGTTCGGCGGTGCCACAACCAACCTGGATTGAATCTCCGTTATACATTTGTCGACCAATTCAACTGCTTCTTCCACTGACATGCCACTGTGGTAGTGTCTGTCCATCATGGAGAGACAAAAATAAGACCCATAACCAAATGCTCCCCTGTCAACCTTGTGAAGGGTAGCGATGTAGTCAATGTAGTATAGAGAGGGACCTGTCTCTTTGTCATAGCCAG